TGGCAGAAGTCAACAAATGCCCTTCATCGCTTAGAAGTTTGAAATTTTTGTCATCAAACTTGGTGGTATTTTTCCTGGTAGTTTCTGGCCCTGGTGCCATGGTAAGTGCTGCAATTAACTACTTAAACAGATTAACTACTCAGGTTATTTGTTTTAACTGTCAGGTTTCCAAAACATAGCATTTCTTCATAGCAACATGATCATAACTTCCTAATACTCGGTTGGCGACGTGGCCAAGTGTGATTACACATGTCAGAAAAGCAATAAACCGAATTGTTAATCAATATAAGCAGAAGAATTTTATCACATAAAGCACTACTTTGACATTTCCAAATCGTCCTTCTAAAATCAACTCTGTCCCGGGTAGAAACACTAATTTCTCGTATTTGTTTTCATTTCACAAGCCTGCTCGAGCCACAGCAGCTCCATCGCCTGAGACTCATGCTACAAGCTGTTGGCGATGAAAGGTAGGACCTGCTGGCATCTGACCTGAAAGACTGTTGACAGGTGAACAATGGGGACAAATGACTTAGCAGCTTGCTAATAACTGCTTATCATGTTTGCAGTTATAGATCATTTTCAAAGGAAGGCTCTCCAACAAAAGGGTCAATCATTCAGGTGTTGTTCCCTTCTCTGCTAGCCTGGCTGGTCAGATTGTTACACCCATGACCTTACTGTACATCTCCCCTCTGCCACCTCCTTTTTATGATTTCTTCCTGTAGATATTAAACAATTACGGGTGCCATTTTAGTTTATAGCCAGCTTTTTAGGGTGAATCGAAGATTTCCACAGAGGTGCAAACAAAATTTGCACCAAATTAATTAATACTGTAATTAATACCCTAATTATGATTAGTTTTCCAAGGCTGCCGTAGCAAAGCACCCCAAAGTGGGTGGCTTAAAGCAACAGATATTTATTTTCACACAGTTATTTCGCACTAGAAATCCTAAATTAGCTGCCTGCAGGCCTGGGTTCCCTATGAACCCTGGAGGGGAGGATTGTTCCCTGACTCTTCCTACAGTCGCCACCAATCCCGGGTGTTTCTCAGCTGGCTGCTACATCCCTCCAGTCTCTGCCTCTGTCATCACGTGGTGTCCTTCCTGTGTCCCAGGAACCTCATCCTAACTTGGTTACATCTGTAAAGATGCAAAATAGTCACATTTACATAAACTGGAGCTTAGGACTTCAACTGCATCTTTTAGGGAGACACAATCCAACCAATAGCTGATATGGGCAAATACACCTTGGAGCAGCGATTTTCAACCTGTGTGCTGTGAGAGGATCTTAGGAGTGCCTCAAACTTTTTTTTGGCAGTTTTTGGCCAGGGCTGGGTGTGAACCCTCCACCTCTGGCATATGGGGCCACTGCCCTACTCCTTTGAGCCACAGGTGCTGCTCTGCCTCAAACATTTTTAAAGACCATTAATTAAATTATTTTTGAAAGAAGTTCAAAGAACAGTAAGTATATTCTTTTTAAATTACTTTTTACAAAAATCAACATAATCGAAGTGTGCCCTGGGAGTTTAACTAATGGCTGAAGTGTGCCATGAGATCAAAAAGGATGCAAAACACTGCCTTAGAGAGAGAATGCTTTCAAGGCTGGGGTCCAGAAGAGTTCACAGCCCTTCTGTAGCTTTGGGTACAGTGTGTGTTTATGTGACAACATCCATAAACTGAAAGAAAGTCGTGTCCACAGAAGGGAAGCGGTTAGTACTGCAAGCGAAGAAATATCTAAACTCAGCGAGCCATGTTTTGATCTCATGGTCACCTAACCATCATTCAAATTCATTTGGTCTTTTTTTTTTTTTTTTGAGACAGAGTATCACTGTTTCGCCCTCGGTAGAGTGCTATGGCGTCACAGCTCACAGCAACCTCAAACTCTTGGGCTTAAGCGATTCTCTTGCCTCAGTCTCCCAGGTAGATGGGACTACAGGCACCTGTCACAATGCCTGGCTATTTTTGTTGTTGTTGTTGCAGTTATTATTGTTGTTTAGCTGGCCTGGACTGAGTTCGAACCCACCAGCCTGGGTGTATGTGGCTGGCGCCCTACTCACTGAGCTGCAGATGCCAAATTCATTTGGTCTTAATAAGAATTCCTCTCATAAGGGAAAGAACAAAGGTGGTGACACCATGCATCACTGTTTTGGGAGCTGGGTCGTGGCTGGTCACTGTGAAGGGGCTGAGCCAATCAAATGTCCCAGCCTGGAAAGTCAGTTTCCTGAGATACGGCTGCCATCAATGCTCCCTCTAGGAACTAGGTGAGTTGAATCAGGTGGTGGCCCGTCCTCCCTCCCTTACTGCCTGTCCCATGACGTTCCATTACATATGCTCAGAGCCAGTCAGGTGATGTGCAGTCTAAAAGACTGAAAGATCATACTCTCGAAATGGTCTCCACCTGACTTGAGTCATCTAATACATTAAGGATTTCATTGTTTTGTGAGAAACCAACAAAAATCTGCAGGGAGTTGCTTTGCAATCCTGAGTAAGTGCTGGATGAAAGTAGGCTAAGATTCTGACAGAGCTTTCAGACTTCTGAGCCTACCTGGTCAGTAGGTGCAAAAAAGGAACAGGAGAGCATGAAAAATGTGGTGGGCTTGTGGCCAAGTTGGGCTTTCCTGATTTGACCTGGAGACCTCTACCATTAGCTGATATTACTGCTCTTGGATATGTCTATTCCTAATTCCCTTTCCCTCAATTTTTTTGTTTTTGAGAGTCTCACTGTTGCCCAAGGGTAGAGTGCCATGGCATCATCATAGTTCACAGCAACCTCAAATTCTTGGGCTCAAGAGATCTTCCTGCCCCAGGCTTCTGAGTAGTTGGGACTACGTGCAACCCACCAAGATGCCCTGCTAGTTTTTCAAGTTTTAGTAGAGGTGGGGGTCTCGCTTTCTATTAGAACTCCTGAGCTTAAGGGGTTCACCTGCCTGGGCCCTCAGAGTGCTGGGATTGCAGGTGTGAGCCACCGTGCCCAACCTCTTTCCCATACTTTGACAACCAGCACTGGTGTAGGTCATGTGCTGACCACAGTGAGATCTTGCCTCTCCTAATATCCGAGGCCCTTTAAAATCTGACCCTAAGGGCCAGGAACGGTGGCTTACACCTGTGATCCTAACACTCTGGGAGGCCAAGGTGGGAGGATTGCTTGAGCTCATGAGTTCCAGACCAGCCCTGGCAAGAGTAAGATCCTCATCTCTACTAAAAATAGAAAAACTAGCTGGGCATGGTGGGTACCTGTAGTCCCAGCTACTCGAGAGACTGAGTTAAGAGGATCACTTGAGCCCGAAAGTTTGAGGATGCTGTGAGCTATAATGACATGGCACTCTATCCAGGGAGACAGTCAGACTCTGTCTCAAAAATAAATAAATAAATAAAAATAAAATCTGAACCTAATGGGCCATGTTTCTCACTTATCTTATAAAGCACTCTGCAGCCCCCCAAGGGAATGCTGACCGTGATGGCTGCCACCAATTGTACATCTTTTTCTGGGGCATCCATGTGACACATAGGACATGATATGAAGCTGATTATTCCCTGTTCTGGGAAGAGAATGTTTCCCTTTTTTTTGCATCTTGGTACTTAACACAATCTTGAAGCAGAAAAGTGCCTGGTCTATGTTTGCTGGTGACAGTTGGATGCAGAGAAGGGATCCTTACAAGATGTGGACATGGTAAGAAAAAACCTGGTTAGCCGGCTTCAGAAAAACCCACCAAACCCGGCATTACCATGGAAATGCCCCATGGTTCCCAGTCCAGGTTGACGTCTTAATGAAAGCATGTGATCGAGACTGTCAGTTTATTTACTCACTAACAGACTTAATTCTTCCCCTTTCCTGCCCCAAATCATAAAATAGCTCCTGAGATCAAACCAGACCCTCTCCCTGAATATTAATGGGAAAACTGTCAATATCTTGTTTCATGTCCACACATGCTTTATAACCTTTTCCAAAGCTGACCCTGTACTCCTGCAGTCAGATTCATATACTCTGCCTTTCACACGGATTTCTTCAGATTAATCAAATGCAATTTACTGTGCTTAACCCCCTCCTCCCCCCCACTCTCCCTTCCTCTCTTGTATCAGGCCATTCTTATGATGGTTTGAGTATTCAAAGGTATTAACGACACAGTCTACTGAGGTTTTTATGTACTGTACATTGTGTCCCAACTTATTTGGTGAGGGACCTTGCTGTTCTTTCCAAATGTCACTCTCGTGACACCCTTTGAACATGGCCGAGGGCAGGCGAAGTGGTGCCGCTGTTTCACGCTTGCTCAAGCCTGAATACACCTTTTCTACCCACATTCCCTCCAATCAGAGGGGCGGCCTGACCCTAGCAGGTGTGGCCTTGCCAGACTAGACGAGTTCCAGAACCTTCTGGAACCAGTATTCCCTTTCCCATCGTTTATGTTCAACTTCCTCGCCCTCAGGGCGCTGAGTTGGGCGAACCTGGCCAAGTTCTAAGAAAGATGGAGAAATGGGAGACGGTTCCTTTAAGGCCTGAGTCCCCGAGGGGAGCGGGTGTCATCCGCTGTAGACAGGGCCCCTAGCTCAGACTGGGACCCAATTAGCCAGAGCTAAGCAGGGTTTGTGTTTGGCTTAGCAACGCCGCGTTCCCGGGGGCGGCGAGGTTCTCTCGTCCTGGCTCAGCCCGGGTGGCGCTGATAGTTCCGCGCGCCGCACCTGCTCTCCCGGCCCCGGGGCAGAGAAGGGATCACTCCCTGTGGGGGCCCCAGACATCGCCGCCCTCTGCAGCTCTCACACCTTTTGGACGCCCAGGGCGGTAGGGAAAGGTCGGTCCGCAGTGGCGCGGCCTGAGCGCGCGGAGAGGCCCTTCCTGGTGGTGACGGATCCAGAAGCCCCCGGGGCTTCGCGGCGTGCGGGGATCCCAGCATAGTCGCCCCAACCCCGGGCCTCCCCGTCCGGATCCCCGTGGGCGCCGGTGGATGGAGCCCGGCAGTGGGCTGGAGATCCGGGCCACAACGAGGACAGCATTGCCAAAGTCAAGGCATGAAGGTGGCCGTGCTGGACCTTGGGTCTCTTTTTGCCAAAATCTTCAAGACCTCGACGGCGTCCCCGGCGGGAGGACCTGCAGCCGCAGGCACCCAGCTTAGCACCGCCCAGACCCCGGCCCCGACTCTCTTCCCGGCCCTGGCTCCCGGCTCTCCGTACAGCCCGCAGCACCCCTTGCTCGCCGCCTCGCATCCCCGGGTCTCAGCCGCCTGCCGCGTGGCGGAAGCTGCAGGGACCCCGCTGTCACTGCCCAGCAGCCCGAGGGCAGCCAGAGTTCCGCCCCTGCACCCCTCCAGCGGCGGCCCAGCGCGCTCCCCCGCACCTCTGGTGACCCCCGCGCTGCCGACCGTCGTGGGTGCCACGAGCCCGCGGACCCCCGGCCAGTCTGGCCCAGGAGAGCGGGAGCTGGGTGCTCGGATGCCCCCCGGGCCAGGCCCCAAAACTCTGTTCTTCACCCTGCCGGACATCGGTGAGGAGAGGGGCTGGGACAGCGACTCGGACGACGGCGGGAGCGCGTGAGTAGCTGCGAGTTGGGCTGGTCTGTCTTTTGAGGGTACCCGGCTCCCCGCCCCCTGCGTCTCAGGCGCCCACCTGGGTCTCCTCTTTGCTTTTGCCTGGACCTTTATTTCTTGGCTTTCTGGTCTTTTCTAACATGAGCTGGGATGTGCTTTGGATTAACTTTCTTGGAGGGAGTCCTCCACTGGTGACCAGAGGGGAGGGGACGGGGCCTGAAGGACAGGGCAGAATTCTGCTTCTCTCCTCCTGGAAGCATCCATGCTTAGAGCACTTGTGAGTCTGGTTTTCTTAATGATTTTGAAAGGAGCCTTGAACCTCTTTCTTGGCCGCAGAACACAGCAGGTATGCAGGTAACCGAATACACCTGTTGGCACCAAGAACTTGAATTTAAGAAATGGTGAGACGCTGCTCTCTCCTCCTGCCTAAGGAGCAGCTGAGTCTAGCCCAAGTGAGATGGGTTCCCTTTGTACGACAAGTAGTTAATTACATAAGTATCCCATCATCTGACACAAGTGGGACCTGTGATGCTCCAGACACGTCTGGTCATTATACCCTGGAGTCTTAGGGTGCTTGACTTAGGGCCTGAGTTTCTATAGAAACTGACTGACCTCCTGGGGACAATTTCCCTGGGAATCGGAGGTCACTTCCCTCAACACACATATGCGGACACACACACACACACACACATTGCTACCAAGAGCCCTGATGCAAACATTACTGTTATAAAATGTATATTTTAGAACTAAGATGAATTTTAATTTCTAATGAACAGAACAAGTCTGTTGCTGTGAAAGAACGGTGAAGGGGTCAAGGGCAGACCAAAAGGGCCGGTTCACAGACCCAGGCTTAAGCACTGTAGTGGCAGTGAGGTCCTTCCCCACACTACTCCCCCCAACCCCCCACAAAACCAATCCTGACTGAGTTTTGCACTAAGACTGATTCTAACTTATTCACAAATTAAATAATTACAAATTCACAAAACTATGAGATAGTCATCTCAGTGCTAAAACAAGCTGTTAGGTAATAAATTGTTCCTGTTCATTTCAAATATTGTATTATGAAATTAGTTTAGGAACTACAATTTTTTTCCCTAAGGGAAATTAATCATGCCTAACCTTCTGGAATACATATGCCTAAGAAATGAGACCTTTGTTACTGGCAACTGGTCCTTAACATTTATGCAATTAATGTTTTATGAGCAAAGAGATCCATCCACTGACCTTAAACTCTCGTCTTAAGAGCTTATAACAAACAAGCTCTGAAATATCCAGCACGGCCAGGGAAACAACTGCTGTTCGTTTAAATTCTCAAACATTTTAGCCCATGTTTATATTGTCTAAAATTTGCAATGGACACTTTTTGAATAACACAATATTTGGCATTATGTACAGAAGAGATTAAATTTACTGTATGTGAAGAAACAGAATTTTAGATAATTGCCAGGAG